AAGGTATTTGTTGTTAACATTCTTTTTTCATTCGGTTTTTCCAGTTACGAGTCCTTCAGCTGACATGAAGTGTAAAGATTATATTTAATCCATCGCTAGGTCTGCTGCTCGGAAAGTCGGTTCACTGCATTGTGTTTTCTCTCCAGAACCTATCTTGCATATCTATAAGTCGACCATTCATCCATGCCTTGAATATCGCTACCACTTATGATCTGGCACGTCTGCTGTTTATCTAGAGATTCTCAATAAAATCCAAAGAAGAATCAGCATTATTATTGATCCTGACCTGGTGCCTCGGCTTCAGTCACTCTCACGCCACAGTAATGTAACTTCTGTGCTTTTTCTATAAACCTTCTGATTAGCATTCTCTACAAAGAGCTGGTTACCTGGAGAGACGGCCACTTAGTTGCCACGTCCACATTTCTCGCTCCGAATGACCGACCCAGTATCGACGAGCCCAATGGTTAGATCAACTAGACTATGATCGACCGATGACCTCCCCGCTAGCTCTTCACCTCTTGTCTATCTTGGGGGCCCAGGACGGCATTCCAGCCGCTCATTAAGACTAAGTGCGACGAATCGACCAAGGACGGTCCCAACAGACGGAAAAAGTCGACACTCTCCGTTTAGTTGTTGGGTGCATAAACCGCAACGACCCGAAACGAATCACTGCTCACGGCAATATCAGCCACGATCAACCGAAACCCTCCCCGCGCCAACATGGACAAGGTCCACCCTCTTCAACCAGGGAATGTTTTACTAACAAGGAAATACCTCTGGTCAGCTGGTTCCCGTATGCTGAACAAAGTCGCTAGACAATACACGAAGCAAAGTGCGTCTCTTGGATTGCAGGCACATCTACGCCGAAAGACAAGAGATCATGAAGCAGGCGGGCAGTCTTACCCCGATCTATCAGGTCCCTCGCATTCAAGTTAACTAGCTTAGTATTTATCGATCCACCCACGAGGATAGAATGTGGCACAAGGCCGGTTTAATGTGGGTATCCCCGAGCCCGTAGGCTCGGCCAAAAATATAGCCTTTTTGAACCCGCCTTGACGGATTCAGGCCCTGTCTACCTCCCCGGACGAAACCTTGCCCTTCGGCAAAGCTTCGTCCGGGTTCCTCTCTGCTAATGCAGAGAGTTCGACAGATGCCAACTCGGAAGCTCACAAAAGCAGCATACTACACTTTGATCATAGCCCCCGGGCCGAGCAGCAAGTTAACTAGCTTAATAGACATCTTTAAGTTTTTTTTGTTTTTGTTTTTTTGTTTTTTTTTGTTTTTTTTTTAATGCCTTAAATGCAGACTGGACGGAAATCTATGAAAGTCAGGACCCCAACGGATTGTCCCAAACTACCAGTTCCTATATCGATCGTAATTCGACCGTCCGAGACAATCCCGCCGACGTCTGTCGGGAATGTAAGTTTTAATGCCCTATATAAAGAGGTGTGAAGACGAACCTGGACCCTCCCTGAGCATAAATTTGACATCTTTTTCTAACCCGGAGATTCGAACATACTGATCTTTGGAAACGGGACCTTAGTGATCCCATATCTTTAGGTTACCATCCGTATTAATTATGAGGGTGATCACTCCGGGGCATTTAGAAAATTGAGGGGTGGGGGCTTCCGTCGACTTGTCATCCACGGAAGTACATTTAAATGGTACAAATAATGGCCTAAAGAGGGACTTACTCCGAGAGGAAAGGTCCCAAGTCAACAGCAAGTCTGTCCAACACACAGCCCCCCCCCCCTTTGCGGACAGTCCTTTTCTTTTCTTCCGCTTTATCCTGCAAAGAGTCGGAGATGGAAAAGAGAAAAACGGGGCCCTGGAAAGCGGGGGAATTAGGCTCCTTGCATTACCTTGAGAATGTTGCTGCTCACTTCTTGCTGGCGAAGCGGGTGTAGATTGGGTTTTGACTGCTACCAGAACTTTCTCCACCCTACTCCGACCAGACCTCTTCTTCTTGGTGCTTTCAAAGTCCTCTTCAGGTCTCCTCTTTTTCAACGTGGAAAATCGAGGCATTTCCTTCACCTCCATGTAGAGATCAAGCTGTAGCAACTCAACCTCCAGCTGCTGCTGTTCAGACTGCTGCTCCAACTACTGTTGCTGCCGCATCGGCTGCTGCTGCCCCAGCTGTTGTTGCTGCTCCTTCTGCTTCTGCCGCTGTTGTCCGGCTTCTACTGTTGATGCTGGTTGGGTGGTTTCTGCTGATTGGATTGCTCTCTCTGCTTCTGCTGCTGCAGTTGCTTCGGCTGCTTTTCAGTCAACTTAGGAACACCTTTGACACCCTATGGAGAGGCGGAGCTTTGACTTCCTTCCTGACTATCTCAGTCAACACATTGAGGGCCTTCTTAGGCACTTCTTCCCTGGACTGCTCCGTTGTCGATGGTTGAGGCTGCGGTGCCGGATTTTTTTCCGGGACACAATTTCGCAATGTGACCCACGGCACAGCAAAAACAAAAGTGGGGACAGCTCCCCTCCACTACCACACAGATGTTCTGCCCACCACAAGTGATCACCTTCGGGACCTCGTTAAACCTTTTTCGGGTCAATGTCACCATGAATTCCATGTCGCTGTTGACGATGCTAGATTTGCTTTTTACCGTAGATACCTCTTGCACCGGTCCATACACGGAAAAGAAGCCCCCCGCCCCCCAGATGGTCCTCAGTGATGCACGTGAGCACCGAGTCTTCCTGGTGCCCATGTACATGGCTTGGAGTCGAAGGGATTTGGTAGTAAGGACGTTGCCTGCCAACGCCTTGGCAGCAGCTTCTGTTGCCAGCAGGATGCCCCATATGGCATTGGATCTACTGGTCAACACTTTGGCCACGATGTTCAAGGCCTTCATGGCCTTTTCCATCATCTCCCTGGTGATGCCATAATTTTTTTTTTTATTTTGACATCCGTTGTCAACAAGGAGATGGTTCTCGTGTTGATAGCCACAATTACTGAGGGCAACGCAATGAGATGAAGGAGTTGTATTCTTCTCTCAGTCCACTATAGTATTCGGGCCTTTTGGGGGGGGGTCTTTCTGCCACCCATGAAGGAGTAGATGGTTGGGTGGTCATCTTTTTGCTCGGGGTGGGGGTGTGGGGATCACTTACATGTGCCACACCTCCATTTCCTTCAATATCATTGGTTCGTAAAAATATATGATACTTATCATATGACAATTTTGCCATCGCAGGTAATTTGAAATTTTCTCTAAAATCACGGATTGGTCCATTTCCTGACCAATCGCGTATTTTAGTATCTTTTCTATATTTTAGTATCTTTTCTATATTTTAGCGCCAAGCTCTCTGGATCCTACCCATCGTTATAAAAAAAGAGACTCGCTGTTTGCCAACTGCCAGTAGCAGTTCAATTCTTGGAAAATAAGGCACGGCGCTATATTGACATTTTAATTCTTCTTAATTATCTCTCAACCGAGTAATCATACAAATTCCTATTGATATCACTCATGAACATTACATTTTTCTACACTGATAAAACACTGTGGAACTATTCTTTATTTAGCTAAGACTTCAATTGAACTTCGTAGTTAAATTCAATTTTGTACTCAACATTTATTAGCTAAACTTACCCTTTTTTATTACGGAAAAAGGGGAGCAACTTTCTTTATACTATTGTTGATATTTGTATATCATTGTTAATACAATATTTTATTAATGTTCACTGAGCTTGATTATTTTTCTCTCGTCTTTGTTGTGCATTATTCATGTGGGGTGTTGTTTTACAAGAACACAGCCTTCCTTTATTATATTCACGGTGACCCTAGCCAACAATACTTACAGCACCACTACAGGGGCATAGCGGAGGGCGATTCTCCCCAAGAAACAGACAAACAAGAATAAAAAGGATGCACAAAAACAGTGATTAAAAAAAACAATGGCAGACGTGGAAAAGAACTTACGGTTCACCGAACGAATCTGCACTATCTAGCACTATGTGCATTCCCCCATCAGATTAAGTGAGTGTGTGTGTGGGAGGGGGGTTCTAATCCTCGCTTGCGTATAGCACAGAGACGTTGCACCCGTTCAACATCTCTCTCTCTCTATCTGTCTCTCTCTTTTCATCTTCTTTTTTTTTTTTTTTTGTCACATCGTTTTTCCCGTTTTTATGTGTTATTGACAGCCAAAATTGCATATGCGTAAAGATAATCTCGCGAGAGACAGAGTATCTTCCTCCGGGATGTAGCTATTTCAAATATGTAACCCACGAAACTGTCATTTCTGTCTCCTTTGGACACTTTACACCGCAAGGCACGTTCGAATCTTTTCTTGCGCTGGAGGTAAGTTATTTTATTCTTGATTTTATTTTAGCGTTGCCAAAAACATACATGCAAGCTTGGGCCTTTTTACCCTCTGCGGTAGTTCACCACAAAATTACACTTGTATGCATAGAAAATAGCCGAGAAGAAAGAAGACATTAAAATCTCGCTATTGAGAATTGTCAACTCATAAGAGTTTGATACCGAACGTTAGCCGAACCTATCGGTTCCTATCTGCAAATTCTTGATTGTTTGAATTTAATTTTTGTTTTAACTTCACTTTGAAAAGTCTTTATTTTCCTTGATAGAAGATTATTTCTTTGGAGTTGGATAGAAATAATTATCCACTTCTTCACATTATATTTAATCTTTCAGATATATGTTCTATGATATAATTATTTTGATTAAAATCTTAATCTGTTCATTCATAAGGCATTCAAGCCATTTCATTTATTCAATTTATATCCCACATAAGAATAAATCAGAAATTTTATTCAATAATGATGGCAAATGTCGTTTCTGTTTTTGTTTTTTTTCCTAATTTATGTATAAATTTATTTTTCTAATTAATTTTAAAATCTTAACAAACCTATTTGAAATAATTTGCTAGTTTTTTTATATAAGGGAGGTAACTCTAAAAAACTATATCTTAAATACTCTCCCTTGGATTGGAACTCTCCAGTTTACAAGGAGATGTAAAAATTACTGAAAGAGGAAAATCAAGATATGGTGTCACTAAGAGAAATTCAAGAAGAAATTGAGGTAAAGAAAAAAAAAACTGGAAATATTTGTCTCAATTCTTCGTTGATATTAAATTTGAAGATTTTTCGATAAGGGAATATTGTAGAATATTTGTGTAATATTTATAAAGAAAAGGTCTTTGTTTTCATATTCTGTTTACGTTTTGTGTTTGATTTTTTTTTGTAAACGATGCTTAATTTTTGCATGACGTAAACTTAAACATAAGAAATGAAAATAGATTTTGATAAAGTTGTAAAAGGTACTGCGACATTAAATAATTTTTTTTATTTATTTTTTTTATCATCTTTTTTTTTTTTTTTTCAGAGATTAAGTAAATACTCCCGAATATTAAAAAAAAAAAAAAAAAATTTACAAAAAAAATTAATACTAGGTGAGGTCATACCCCACCCAACGCAAACCAAAAAACAAATATGCGTTATGATTTAATTTTAATTCATCTTATTGGAATAATGCTTAATTAATAAAGAAAGAACTCCAGATTTTATTTTTTTTTTTTTTTACATTTTAAAAAAAAAATCTGAACAGATTTTGTTTTGGCTTCCGTAGGAGGATCAATTTACATAGCAAACTGACATCCTCTTGGCATTTATAAAATTTACTGATTTTTAATTCGTCATATGGAGCGCATAAATTTGATATGTTAAAAAAAATAAATAACATTGCAGTATTTACATTTTGCATTCGGAATATCGTCCTCATCTCTTGCCGTTATCCATCCTTGTGCCTTCAGGCTTTTGTCCGGATAAATAATATTATTAAAAGAGAAAGACCAAAGTATTTTTGATTATTTATTAATTATATTTCTTAATCCATTTTAGAACGTTCCAAATTTTGGTTACAAATCTTGTTTTTCTGACGTCAGCTGGTAGACAAAGATATGAAATTTTAGAGCGTCATTTTTAGATGAAAAATACATTGATTTGGAAATTCTTGCAAAAATCAAATAATTGTGGGATTTTAATTAAACTTGCAGGACTTATTTAAAATGAATGGAATTGTTTTAGAAAAGTTCTTTCTTAGAAAATCTTGGTCATTTTTTTTTTTTTTTTTTTTTTTAAGCATCTATTATACATCACTGATTTAATTTCATGAAATTTTGATAAATAAGATTTTATAAAGCTTAATGTTTATGTTAATTAAATGGAAAGCTCCTTGGAGAATTTAAATCGGCAATTTGTTTTTGTAAAACAGGACACCCAATTAGTGAAAATCTGCTCTGAATCAATATGCAATGAAACTAAGATATTATTTAATTAAAAAAGTTTTTAATTGCTTTTATGAAGAAGATATTAAGAACACTATTGTCTTAAGAAAAAAAAATTGTAATGGATAATGAATTTTTCCAAGAATTGTTTCCATTTGTTTAAATTTTTATTAGAATACTTTATAAAGTTTTGAATCTTTAAAATTCTGTATTAATTTGTAAAAATTATATGATATTGTTATTAAGTAAAACTATATTTACTAAATATAAATCAAAAGCTTATTACAATTTAGTGAGCCCCAGTATTTAAAAAAGAATTTCAAATATATATATATATATATATATATATAAATAAATGTGCCAATTTTTGTAAATATAGATATTCATACACATTATCAGAAAATAAGTGCAATATCTATATTAAATTTCAAGTCAAAGTATCTTAAATTCAGTAAAACATGAGAATATAGAGAATATTTTCCTAAATTTTTAAGATTACTGAGTACTTAAAAATTATATAAAAGAGGTACCCACGTTATACTCCTCAATTATTTTTACATCTATAACCACCATAGAAAAACGTTAAACTTGCATCTGTCATTCAAACTGTCAACATATCAAGACCTTGAATAGTTAACGCCATGTTAAAAATGGGTTTCTGCAATATTTTACACTTAAGTAATATTTGTTTCAAATCAGATTAATTAAATTTTAAATCAGCTAATATTCCTCAAATAAAGTTTCAGAAAAATATACTTTATTTTCAGAATATTTTTAAATAAAGTAAATTACATTCTGATGGCAGGTGGTTAAAAATGATGCTAAAAATCAACAATTTCAAAACAAAAACTTCAAGTCAATTTAAATTAGTTTTGAAACACAGCAATATATTCTGCTTATTGGAAATGTTAAACTTAATTTATTAGCTTAAAATAAAAATAAAAACTTCAAGAAAGATTTTTCATTTTAAAATGTTCATTTTAGACATTAGGTATTGCAAATTTTTGGAGGTACCTAATTTACATTATGTATATTCAGATTATTGTCCTTATCACTTCATCCAGATGAATGCTGGAGGGTATAATTGCCAAAACGTGTTAGCAACAACAAAGATGGGGACAGTCGTGTGAATATAAATAGGGTAAATAATAACTCCTTATCCCAGAAATTCAGACAGAAAAAAATGATTATGTCTATAACATATTTCTGGTTACAATGGCTGCTCTAAAATTACACCCAGATTTAAAGCACAGGTAAATCACTGTCTGAGTTTGATTCATGCTTTTGAAATGTGGGTAAAAAAAAAAAGAAAAAGAGTAGCGATGAAATAAATTAATTCATGTAATCACTTTTAGCAAAATGTCTAATACCGTCCTGGGTAAGACGATAAACTACATCCAACTGCAAGGCCTTTGATCAGGAGGTTTTGAGGAGCATAGAACCACCTCTTAATTGTTGGTGTTCCCAGGTCCACCTTGAACCGGGGTGGTAGCATCTGTCAGGATCCCAGCTATGAGCAAATAGTAAACTCCCCAAACAGGGGTCAAAACACTATGAAAGTATAAAAATAGGTTTCAATACTAGCAATACATTTTTTGAAGAAAAAATTATTCCCTGCAATACATTATTGCCAGCAATAAATATTTTAAAAAGAAAAACATTACCAGCAATATATTTTTGGAAAAAAAATATTACCAGGAATACATTTTTGGAGAAAAAAAAAAAATTACCATCAATAAAAATATTGTCAGCATTAAATAATCCATTGAGGTTGATATGTCGTAAAACAAAATAAACCAAACCAATATATACTTAGAATGAAAGCAAGCAAGCAAGCAAAAATCTTGTCGGCATTAAATAACCCATTGAGGTTGATATGTCGTAAAACAAAATAAACCAAACCAATATATACTTAGAATGAAAGCAAGCAAGCAAGCAAAAATCTTGTCGACATTAAATAACCCATTGAGGTTGATATGTCGTAAAACAAAATAAACCAAACCAATATATACTTAGAATGAAAGCAAGCAAGCAAAAATCTTGTCGGCATTAAATAACCCATTGAGGTTGATATGTCGTAAAATAAACCAAACCAAACAAAACCATACCTTTTCCAAAATAATATATCTTTCAGTTTTAGATAAACTGTCAGGGATAATTATTTGGAGATAAATGTACCCTGGACATCCTTATTCCACCCACTTTTATTAGGTATTCAGAAAATTACCTTCCCCTCCTTATTACAGGCTGCATGTATACAAAGCATTTCATAAATAAAAATTATTATAAAAAAAAAAAAAAATCAGCCACCTGTTTTATTGAAATTCAAGCGTAAGATCTGAGGTACGCGAATGCGAGAGTGCAGAAAAGTTTTCAGCCCAGCAAAGAAACTATTCTGTAGCCACGCAACCCCATATTATATTTAGTCAGATTTTGAGAAAATGTGTTGGCTGCAATTTTTCTTTTACAGTACCTTCAAATTCAGTGAGTTCTATTTGTAGTTTAGTGTACCAAATCATATTGGTTATTGTCGTGTAGGCACAAGTGTTAAAATAAAAGTAATCATTAATTTTAAAAGGTTTGTTTCTAATCGGTAGCATCTTTAGTTTTGAGAACAGCTGCATTTGAATCTATCTTCCATTTTATCCTCAAATATTTATTTTTTTGTTTCTTTTTATGCTATAACAAATACTTAATTACCTCCCTTGTATTGCGATTAGACTGCGCGTGAATTCGACTTAAGGGAGGTAATTCACTCTTGTGCCTTAAATCATTCTGCACACTGGAAATGTACTTTTGTTTTTTCTTATAGCAACAATTAAAACAAAAATATCAATAAAAATTAAATAAATGGTCACGCTACTGAAAAAGATGACTGGAGGAGTTATTTTGTTTTGACTTTTTTTTAAGATTTGATATATTTTAAATTTTACACAACATAAAACATATTTGACAGAGATAAATATGCACTACTAGATTCACTAAGAAAAACGAGTATACCACAGTAAGTCAAAAAATGCCCCAGGCTTAATAAAATCAATGTTTTATAGTCAAAATCTTTAAGTGGAAATACTAAAGGATTTTTTATTCTAAAAATTATATTTTTTAATCCTCTTTAGAACCTTAAAATTTTGGGTTTTTTTTTTTTGTTTTTGGGGAAATGAATGAAATTATTTTAGAAAATCTTTAGTAAATGTTTAGAAAATCTTAATTAAAATATTTTTTTTGCATCTGTTACTCCACTTATTCAATTTTATGAAATTTTGAGAAATTCATTTTTGTAGGACTGGCTATAAGTCCTTGGAGAATTTAAGTCAGCATTTTTTTTTTTTTTACATAAACAGGACCCCCAGCTGCAGAAAATCTGCTCTGAATTGTAAAATAAAAAACGAAATAAAACTAAGACATTATTTAATTAGAAAAGATTTAATTGGTTTTATAAATATATTATGGACACTATTGTCTGTGGAAAAGTAAGTGAAATTACCTGAGTGCATGGGAGGCAATGTTTACCATGCTGGTTTTCTAAGGTGAAGCCGCTCCGAGCTCTTATTTTTGTAATCATTTTACCGGGTCTAGCACCTTGTTACTTAAAGCCTGCCTTCCCTCCCTTCTCAACTTTTCCTTTGTGAGAGGCACTTACTGTACCAGACTAGCTTCTAGCTACCCTTAGAGTCAAAAGGAATTTTCAACGTTTCTTAGAAAAAAATGTTTTCAATGAATAATTAATTTTTACAAGAATAATTTATAAAGTTTTAAATCTTTTAAAAATTCTGTATTAATTTGTACCAGTTAGATCATATTGTTATTAATTTAAAACTATATTTACTAATCATAAATGGAAAAGCTTACTACAATTCAGTGACCCCCCCCCAAATCCCAGTATTTTAAAAAGAATTTTGAATTTAAGTTTATAAATGTATTTTTTTTAAATATGAACGTCCATACATGACATTATCAGAAAATAAGAGTGGTAACTAAAGTAAATTTAAAGCCAAAGTACCTAAAATTCAGTAAAACATTAGTTTTGTACTACTTGCACCCCTGAAGATGATCTTGAAAGAAGATCGAAAGTACTTGGGAAATAAAAATAAAAGAAATTTAAACAGTTATAGCACGTTTTTCTCATCCTTTAACATCAATACACAGAAGGTTATTTGTGAGTATTTTGTTAAAAATTAGCAGACATAATGTCTGTAATTTATTCAATCAGACATACCCAAAAGAGAATTTACTGCCTAAATACAAAGTTATATATATATATATATATATATATATATATATATATAATAATATAATTTTTTTTTTTTTTTTTTTTTCAAAGAAGTTTTATTTGGAGAACTGAGTTCCAATTCCATTCAAGTTCATTATAATCACTTACATAGAAATGCCCTTCAGAAAGGTACAAATCCACCTCCCCCACCCACTATCTTGGTTAGGGGTGTTAATTAGTGGTAACACTAAAATAATTATTAACTAATTCCTGCTTTCCCTAGTTTGCTGCAACCAATTTCAAGTCCTGAAAGGGTGAAATGATTAAAAATTTAACAATAACAACATTTGTCCCACAGGACAATAGTCTAGTGCCGTAGTTCCTAAACTTGTTTTCCTCTGGGAGGCATTTTCAGAAGAAAAATTTGCTTGTGCCTCAACAAATCCTAGGTGATAAAAAGAACATTTAAAAATAAAAAAAGTGGACGGTTAAAAGGAGATAACTGCGAATTCAAAGTCAAAAGATTATCATTGATAACTCTCTCCTCCAATTTGCGGACTCTCGTTACTATATTCTTAATACTTGATATAATGCAAAAATATCACACTGATAAAAATCAGTCAATAATTATTTATAACTATTTATACTGAGACTCATGCATACAATTACAAGTAATCCATAATAATATTTTAAATTTTGAAACCATTTATTTTTAGCATATGAATTTTTTGAAACTGTTTCTATATCTTTGTCTTTCAATCATTCCACCTCATCTGTTATCCTCTTCTGCCACACCATTTGGGGTGTTCTGCACCATTTGGGAAGCACTGGTCAAGTGGATTAAAGCATTGGTTCGTGAATTTGGTGACACAGTAATTGTGAGTTCAATCCCTGGGATGGGCAATGTGTACTTGAACTCAGTGGGTATTAAAGGGTTATTGGTAGAAACCTATGATTAATACCAGATAATATGACCAATCTATATTTAAAACCAGATTTTTGATGACTTATCAACCTTTTGAAGGTTATTTAAAGTCAGAAAATATTTTAAGATTGTAAGAATTTTTTGAAGATAAGTTTTTTTTACAAGTCCTACTAAATAACCCATAGTTAGGGAGATGTGGATTCATGCCTTTCTCAAGGGTATTTGCATGTAAATGAATGTAATGAACTTGACTGGAATTTGAACTCGGCTATCCGATTTCACATTCCTAGCTGTTATCCATTACACCAATGTCACATTCAATACCTGTTATTCCCAAACAGTCACCCATGTAGGTACTGACCAGGCTCGACATTGCTTAACTTCAATGATCATACAAGGACCTGTGATTCAATGTTATATGGCTGTGAGCCCCCAGAAGTTGATTTTTTTATAGTTAGTTAGATTTAATGGTGAGCATAAATTTGTTAAAACCTAAGACTTAAAAATGCTGATTTTCAAGGCAGCACCAGGCAAGATTTGAACTTGGTTTGTTGATTTCATTTTTTTCTACTGATGAGTGTTGTTTTCTCAACTTGAATTTGTCTTTTCTTTTCTTTTTTTTTTTTATTCTTTAAATTCCTTAGGCAATAGAATTTGAATACCAGTATTCTGCTCGCTCTTCTGAAAACAATCTTGAACAAGCAATTTTGTCTGTGGACGTGAAGAGAGTAAATCGAATATTGGATCATGGCTGTGTGCTGGATTTCGAGACAAAATACGGCAATTCTGTTGTTCATTTGATTCTTGAAGTGATTCAGAAAAAAAAGTCAATCAGTGATGGTAAGTTAAACTATTACATGATTATCTCTACTCAACATGATTCAATGACTTTATGGTCTTATATCCATCTATTTATCCATCGGAAGTATTTGGGCAGCAGTTTTTCATTCGTACAAGTTTGGATGAATGCCAACAGAAAAAAACACTTTAATTTACAAGTTCCTTAATTATTTACAAAATAAACAAGTTCCTTTTTTGTATTATATTTACAAAATTTATAAATAAGTTTCTTCTCAATTGTAAACAAGTTCCTTCTTAATTACAAACTTTATAAACAAGTTACTTTAAAATATTTACAAGACTTCTAAACAATTCTACAAAATATTTCTCTACATATAAATCTTGAGAAATTGAAAAATTAACTGTGGATTACGATGGCCACAATATAAGTTAATACGTATGCATCAACAAAAATCTTGTGCAAAATCAAGATACAAGACATTCAATATAATCGTCCTTCTTCAGATTTTACAGCCTCTGTTGAATAAACTGTCTTTGTTTGAAAATCCTTCGAAAAATAGTAAGAGACTAAGTTTTTCTTTTAAGGCATTGTCATTATTTTAGTCTTTATACAATACTTCCTCTGTTATCCAAAATCATGGCTCAGTGGTTGAAAAAATATTTTCAGATGATTCAGAATTATGTACAATTGAATACCTAAGCTATTGAAAAAGAATGAAAAAAAAAATGGTCACTTTCTGAAAGAAAGTAACACCTACATTATCTATATAAATAAAACACAGTGTACATTTCTCCAGCATCTGTCCATTTTTTTTCAATCTCAGCAAATCAGATATAAACTGAAGTAACAGTAACTACTGTAGTTACACATGATTCAAAATTAAATAACTCACTTAAAGTTAAATTTAAATATCGAACAGTAAAAAATTTAAAAAGAAAATTCTTTTTTAAAGATTTAACTTTAATTTCACTTCTCGGTGGAATTGCAATTGATAGTATCTAATTTTAAAACCGTAATTAAAACTTAAGCAGAGTACAGTACATTGCTCAAGTTTTTTTTTTTTTTTTGTCTAACATTCATATAGTGATGTATTTGAAATTTTACATAGTACAGATTCCTTGATGTCTTTTAAGAGTGATTTTATGTGAAGTGATCATAAATAATGATTTTAAAAAAAAAATTGTGCACAAAATAAATGCAAACAAACTGCGGAGATCAGTTGTGTATATGAACAAAGATTATGCCGAATTAAGGTATCATATAAAAATAAAGTAATTTTGTTATTTTCAAATTCTTATAACTTTTACGTACATAGGACATTGAATGTAAAAGGCCAAGCGCTCAAAAGCCATCCACAAGAGCTAACCTAAAGTCCACCCAAAGGTTGGCTTCTAGGCTAGTAAAATATTTTCAAACGCTATTTTTAACAAAAACATTTGTTAAATTTTGTTTCTTTCAGGCTAGCTTTGCGTTTTTCTGCCACAAATTGCCAACGCTGATTTAAAGTAGATATGTTTGTAAGGATAAGTTCTCTTTGATGAACAACCAACTTAAACATTTGTCAAACATAATCCTTTGAAATTGAGCACTGGGGCTGTTAAACTTCAACACAGCCTATATCATTATCATCCTCCTCAACATTTTCTGCTGTGGTTATAAGTTCAACAATTTCCTGGTCATCGTGATAATTCAATTTTCTTTGTATGAAAACAAGGAAATTAACAAGAATGAATTGAACTAATTTTATTAGCATTTTTATCAAATGTTAAGTACGGTTTGATAAAATTCTCAAAACGCTTTTCAGACGTTAAATATCAGAATAGGTTTAATTCATTTAATTGTAAAAATATTTGAAAGATTTCGATTTTTCTCTTCATTTTACATTAGAATAATTAAATTCAATAAAATCAAGGTATGGATAATCAAGGAAGTATTATATTGTCTGAAAGAAAATGTCTTATGTTGTAACTGAATTCTTTGTTTTCTCTCTCTCTCTCTCTCCATGTAGATATGAAAGACATTTTTAACAAGTTGTTATCATTCGATGCCCCAGTGAATGCCCGTGATCGTTTTGGTCGGATTCCACTTCACCTCGCCGTAAGATGTTCCTCAGATATGACAGAAATTTTGCTGAATCTTGGCAGCATTGTGGACACGCAAGACAATGCAGGTTTGTTCTGAGAATCTATTCACATTGTAGTGGACCGTGGCTGTGAATGTTGTGAAGTCAGACGTAGAAGAAACGCATGTAAGGTTCAGATTCTCCTGCCCGCCAGGCCCAACTACATAAAAAGGTTGGACTTTGATTAAATCCAAAGAAGAAGGCAAAGAAAGCAAACAAAACACAAGACCGATAATATATGTATATACAAATATATATTAATAACAAGTTACAATACATGGAAACAGTACAAAGGACGAAGTGTGTGTGAATATTCTGTATGTGCATGCGTGCGTGAATATTCTGTATGTGTGTGCGTGTGTGTATATTGTGCTTAGCGTGTTTCCACGCTATCCCTTGTTAGCGCCTACATTTCGAGGTTGATAGCTGAAATCCTGAAGGAAAAAGAGATAGAGGCGAAGGGTCAGTGGCTATTTATAGCCAGGGAAGAGAGACCCCTGGTGAAAGGGTTAACGGACTGAAGGAGGAGTTAACTCCGACAATGTTAGTCATTACTGACTAGCAATCTGGTAAAGGCTTTTAACAACATATACTGGGTACCATATATTAGCTTTCAACATAACTTTACCTGTATTTATCAGAGAATCAGGATCTAGACCTATGTTTCTTTTATTTTATTTATTTATTTTTTTTTTTTTGTTTTGTGGAGTGGTGTGCTGAATCCATTTTTGGTACTGAAAATTCTTCCAAAAGAAGTCGAAATGGCCTAACTACAAAAATAGGAATTTGGGCTTTTCACTGCAGACCAGATTTTCCAGACCTAAACCATTCTTTTTTAATGTGAAAGTTTTGTTGCAATCTTCCTCTTATGTACAAATAATAAAAACATAGTTCTATAATTGAGCTGGAGACTCAAAGGACTCAAAAGCCACAACTGCCCACTTGACCCTATTGTCCAAGACATTTGTGATGAGATATAACAGAAATTATTATACACCGTTAAAAAAAAATGAGACATGGTTTTTTTATTAGAAATTTTATTATGACAAAAAGAAATTTTGTGATTAAATTTTACTCTCGTCAAAATAATCTTTAATCTTGATAAATGCAGCACAAATTTTTGGCATTCATTACAAAAGTTCCTCAGAGTTTGATAATTGATTCCATTCTTTTTTTAAGGCTGAATCCATTTTTGGTACTGAAAATTCCCCCAAAAGAAATCTAAATAGACTAAATGGAAAATTTAATCCCTTTTCAGGAATTTGGGCTTTTCACTGCAGACAAGAGTTTTTAGACCTAAACCATTATTTTTTTTTCATTTTATTTTCACTCTTCTATCAAGTTCATTCCATGCTAATTCTGGCTTCAAATTTTTGAACTGTAGTGTATATACCTAGTGTTTTTTTTTTTTTTTTTGGAGGGGGGTGCTGAATCCATTTTTGGCACTGAAAATTCCCCCAAAAGAAATCTAAATAGACTAAATGCAAAATTTAATCCCTTTTCAGAAATTTGGACTTTTCACTACAGACAAGGGTTTCTAGAGATAAACCATTATTTTTTTTTTTTAATTAGAAATGTCAAAGTTTTGTAATTTTCCTCTTAAGTACAAATAACGATAACACAGTTCCACAATTGAGCTGAAAATCAATCAGCCAGTGGAAATGTACTCAAAACCCAATAATGTCTAATTGACTATTTTGTAATGCTTTTATTGAGAACAGGGCAAATGTTGCAATTGGAAAACATTTATTAAATAAGATTTACTCATTTGTTTTCCATCACGGTACAGAATATTTTGACAGCATTAAATCTTTTGGTGATCACTGGAATGAAATTCCAACACTCCAATTTTGAACCTAAACTTAATCTTTAAATTCATTTCTCAAAAAATGGCAACAATTTGAAAAAAAAAAAAAAACATTTTGTGTCATTATTTATCATGTTAAACTCCAACTCTCAAATTGAGTGCAATATGACGTTTCCAAAATCGACCTGCCCTATTGCACATACCCCTTTCTGTCTACTCATTGTCTTCCTTTCCAAATCAAATCTTGAAACAATTCTAACAGAGATTTTCTATTTGCAGGTTGCACCCCACTGATGGAAGCCTGTATGGTCTGTGGTCCAGACACACCAAATGTTTTATCTCACCTGATGAAATATAATTGCAATTTGAATCTGAGAGATCAAAATGGTTGTACAGGTAAGTCAAAAACGGAATTAATTACACTGAACCCTTCCTCCTCGATGAGTGGTGGGTGATAAAATTAGCACAGACAAAAATGGAATCAACAAATCAAGTCTAAATTGCTGCCAAGCGTGCTTATATTCTTTTAGTTCTAATGCCATTGTAAAAGGCATGAATCCACTTCTCCCTGTCTCAGTGCTGGATTTCTTGATAAAATATCACTACTGGTCTGCTAAAATGATTAACTGAATTTTTTTTTTAACTAATTGTTCACCCAATACAAGCCAATCAAGTTCCAGTGTTACTGATTGAGTTTGTTGAATTAGCATAATAGGGACTAAGAATATACTTTATGAGAATATGTAGGAATATTAATGGTTAAACCTAATGGTTAAGATTGTAGTAATTAGGGAAGCATCCTCTCAGGAGCCTGTTCTGCAAAGTAGTGTTTTTTGGGGAAAGAGAATAGCACTTCCTCCTTACCAATGGAATATGAAGGGAATGATTTATCCCAGTGTATATGGTATGCTAGGTCTTAGCTGTGATGGTCAGCCCTGGTGGAATGTGCACACTTCAGCAAATGACTTAACAGAGAATAACTTCAGAAAACTGTTACCTTCTTTGTCAACCATGACAGGGGCCAATCATTAAATTTCTCTAAATTCAGGAAGTTGTGTACTGATTACTGGTCTATGTAAACAGTTTGAATTTTCCAGCTCAGACTGTTCACTATGGAAAAGGCATGAATTCATTCATCCCTGTATACTGTGTAATTACCAGATATCTTGAAAAAGGTCTTATGTACCATTAGTCCGAGTTGTAAGTAATTTCTGTTTTGAGGAAAAAAAATGTAATGATGAGTGTGTCATCCTAACTAACCATTCCTTAAATAAAAGGTGTTACCTATGAGGAGGTTCAATGCAAAATGATTGTCAAGAATAAATCCCCACAACTGAACTCAATAGCTCAGCTCTATGGAGTAAATGCAATGTTGTGCATCTGGTGGAATCCTCAGCGTACACTTTATTTAGAGTTCTTAGAATGCACTAAATGCATTTTATACATCCAGCAGCTGCAATGTGGCCATAGGTGTTTGTCCAAATGCACCCTGTGCTCGTCAGTTAGAGTAATGTTGTTCTCTTCCATGAAATGCAAAGCCGCGTAGAGCTTGTCCTGGGTATGATGATAAACTACATCCGCGTCCTGGTTAAGACGATAAACTACATCCAGCAGCAAGGCCTCTGATCAGGAGGTTTTGAGGAGCTTTGAACCACCTCTTAATTGCTGGTGTTCCCGGTCCACCCTGACCCAGGGTGGTAGTACCTGTTAAGGTCCCCGCTATAGGCAAATAGTTAACCCCCGAAATTGGGGTAAAAATGGATCTTAATACCAGGAATACTTTGTTGGTTTTTGGGGTTTTTTTTTTTTTTTTTAAAAAGAGAAAAATATTATCAGCAATAAATTTTTGAAGGAAAAAATTATTACCAGAAACAGATTTTTAACAAAACAAAATATTACCAGCAATAAAAATTTTGTCAGCATTAAATAATCCATTGAGGTTGATATGCCATAAAACACGACAAACCAAACCAGCCACATAGAGCAAGAATAACAGAGGAACAAATTTTGAAACTCTGTTCGTCTGTCCTATTCCAACCGCTATATTCGTCTAACTTTGCACTGACCAATTATTAACCTTTTTGATCACTGTGAAATGCTTTGATGGAGAAAACTTTCTCTAAGGAAAACTAAATTCAAGCCTGTGTCAAGAACTTTTTCCCATCAAAACTGGTAGATTTTTTACTAAAAGAGCTGCTTGATAAGTGGCAGCAAGTCATTGCAAGCGATGGTGAACACATAATTGAATAAATATAACTAGGAAGACCCGTGAAAATTTCACAGTTTTCCTATTTTAATTTTTTTCATGGCTCTTAAGTCAATGATTGAATAAACTTATGGCAAGATCTAAAATAAAATATCCATAGAAATTCTTTTATTGCATCATTAAATATTTGAGCTTAAACTTTAACAAAATATTACACTAACATTCCTAATCATCGTTATTTTAAGAAGTAGATTCAAATAAAAAGATTTGAAATTGACGTTTTCCATTTCACTGAAATAGACATTAAACACTTCTATTTTTCCTTTCTTTCTTGCATTCATTTCTCACTGAAACCAAGTAGTGTTTTTTTCCTATTTTTTCCAAAGATCAAAACCCCAGTCTTATTTTTCTTAATAATAATTTAAAGATAATTCAGCAGATGTTATTTATGGTAACTGGATTTTTGGCGATTACTTTACACTGTTTTCGTCATGCAATAATGTGCGTCTGAAAAATGGTGCTGCTTGGCCTTCTAGCTAAGAAAAAAGTGTAGTGTGTGTATCTCTTCTTATCAGTTTAATCTGATCCTTTCTCTCTCTCTCCCCTATCTTCCCTTTCTTTCATTCGTTTTCTCACTGAAACCAAGTAGTGTCTTTTCCCCTCTTTCTATATGATGAAAACAGAATAATCCTTTATTTGAGAGGTATTGGCAAGAGATGCTAAACACTTATTTTTCTCTTCTTTCTTTCTCACTAAATCCCTTTCTTATGAACATTTCTCTTAAAAATGAGCAGATGATGTTATTTCATTTAATTATGTTAATTCGATTTTTTAGTGAGTGCTTACTCAGTTTCCGTTGTTCGATATCATCTGAAAAATGCCACTTTTATCATAGTCGCCATGTCATTTCAGACTTTTGCCTGGGATTAAAGTGTATTATCTGTTCTTATCAGCTTAATCTGATGCTCTCTCTCTCTTCCCACTTATATCTTCCTTTTCATTCATTCTCTCGCTGAAACCAAATAGTGTCTTTTCCCCTTTTCCCATGCTATCATAGTCCATTGTTTATGAGGTATTGGCAAGGTGTAACGGTCGTGCGAACTAACAAAGGAAGGGCCAAGCACAATTATAATGGGACTGTAAAGTTGATAAACAAAACCGGAAAATTTTATGATTCAACCTAACACAATAGTTGATAGAAGGTGGCTACAATAACCAACAAAGTGTAATTTGCCGTTGAAAGTTTTCTATTCTCTTATAGCATCAAGATTTGATGCCAACAGATTCACTGTGGCAGAAATTTCAGTTGTTTTCAGTCAACTCACAGGGTATGAGTTTTGTGTTGTCATTCTTCCAAATCACCCATTAATATCCACTGAAACAAGGTTTTCTTTTCTTTCTTAAGATATAAATCTTCATTTGGGTTTGCCAATGAAAATCTACTGTGATTGTCATTGCCTTACTTTTTAACTTGCTCTTCAACAGGACTTAGAAAACCCTGATTGCATTTCCTACCGAAAGATAGGATTCCTTCCTTGCAGTTGAATATTTGCAGCTTCAAGTATAAACTGGACTAATTTCAAAACAGGGAAAGCGCATTCCCTATTAATTTGTTTAAAACTGTGCCTTTGTTTGTATCTGTTATTTGTTTGATTATCTCATTTATTAGTTCTTTTTTTTCATAAACATTCACGTTCAACATTAATAAACGTTTTGTTTGCTCAATTCTGGGATTTTACTAAACCTTTCTAATAATTTGGCACGCTCAAATTACCGTGCTGATAACAAATATGGCACCAGTTTGTTTACATTGCACAGATTGAAAATTTCAGTTATTGCGCAGCTCAGTGTTGCCAACATTGTGTGAATTGATTGGACGGTTTTTGAAATATTAAAAAAAAAAGTTTTCTCGATAATAATTTGGCACGCAGTGTATATTTAACCTTGTTCTGTAGTCGGTAACACACCCCAAAAGATTGTAAATGTATTTTGGGATTGTATCTTGTATTGTAAATCTGTTTTGATGTGTGGAACCTGTTGCCAAACTTTGTAAAAGTATTTTTGATACACCCTGTATATCTATCTATCTATCTATCTATCTATCTCTCTCTCTTTCTCTCTCTCTCTCTATATATATATATATATATATATAATGTGTGTTGACTACTGTAAGCAGGACCTGTGTCTATTGTTTTCATAGCCTATGTCTACTTTTTGTGTCCCTAGAGTAGACAAGACTTATGTTCACCTTTTTTGGTCCCTAGAGTAAGCAGTATGTCTACCCTTTTGTGGCCTATGTCTACCTTTATCTGTCTCTATAGTAGACAGGACTTACAGTTATCTTTTTTTGGTCCCTATGTCTGCCTATTATGAAGATTAGTTTAAGCCAGTCCTGTATATACCTTTTTGGGTCCCTAGGGTGGGCAGGGGAAGACATGGTGGAGTAATGGATAGCAGCTCAGATTGAGGAATTGGGGAGCCGAGTTCAAATTCCATTGCTTTCATTTACGTACTAATACCCTTGGGAAAGGTATGAATAGCAGGACAGATTAGGTTCTATAGCCTTGGATGACAACTACTGCAGAAAGAAATGGCAACCTACTGCGTGAAAAAATATGCCTCATCAGTCACTTGCAGCATGGCCCGGCATTGCCCGTGCTTGATTCAAAAGTCATACGACTCATTCAGCAATCGCTATCACTTAAAATGTTTTTGCCCTTCCTTGCCTTTAAAGGAGTGCCCTTTAGCTTGCTGATGTTGCTACATGCCTTACTTCTTGCCTAACGTTGATTCTGTTTCCGCAGAATTGGGTTGGGTGTGAAAAAGTATTTAACATTCTTTTTTCATTCGGTTTTTAAAGCTGATCGTTTTGCGTTCATTTTGTTTAGTTCTTTTTTCGTAACAGATTTAATGTTTAGTATAGAGCTTAGAAAAAATTTGCAGTGTGAAAAAATTTGCAGTGTGAAAAAATTTTGAGATTCATAGTGATAGTTTGGTAAAAAAGGTGTGTATGTATACATATATATTTGAACCATTTTTCAATTACTCATATTTTTGGTTTGGTTTGTTTATGGCATATCAACACCTCAATGGGTTATTTAATGCTGACAAGATTTGTATTGCTGGTAATATTTTTTATCTGTCTATCTTTCTATCTCAGTACATATTGGTTTGTTTTGTTTTACAGCATATCAGCCTCAATGTGTTATTTAATGTCGACAATTTTTATTGCTAGTAATATTTTGTAATAGTTTTTTTTTTACTAAGTATTTCTGGTATTAAAACCTGTTTTTACACTTTCATAGTGTTTTTACCCTAGTTTTGGGGTTAACTATTTTCCCATAGCTAGGACCCTAACAGGTGCTACCACCCTGGGTCAGTGTACCTGGAAACACCAGCAATTAAGAGGTGGTTCCACGCTCCTCAAAACCTCCTGCTCAGAGGCCTTGCTGTTGAACATAGTTTATCGTTTTATCCAGGACGTTCTGTAGGTGTTAAACTAACACAAATGTGCCTGAGAATGTGTTTGCAGCAGGGATTGGCTAGCCACCCAGGTGTTCTCGGAAATAAATGGCTATTATATTACTAGCTTAAAGCTAGTTCCTGTGGAGGGCTCTTGATTGAGCCTTCATCACAATAAGTAGGGAGAAGTAGATGTAATAAGCAACAATAAACTACAGAAGTCAAAATTGATCGCTGCATTTAAATATTGCATTAATATTTAAGCTTACCGTCCAAAAGTTCAATGATAATTCTTTTGCCACCACTTAATTTAAAGACAGTTTGATGTGTGTCGGTCCTTACTTTCTGTACAAACAGTTATTTTTATTTCATGGGTAACTTTCACTGGATTTCGCAATTAATTTCAATTATTCTCAAATTTATTTCCAAGTTATAAAAATTGTCAATGTACAAAAAACTTTGTCACAAAAAATCATGTCAAAAAAAAAAAAAAATCACCAGCAAGAATCACAGTAATGAAAACTTAGGAATACAAAATTCAGAATTACGGATCCAGATCCTGCTGAGAATGTTTTTTAATTTGCACACTGAATTAGCTGGATTCCAAAATGCTATAATATGTTGGGCTACGGCTTCTAGGAGTAAAGTTAAAAATGTGTGACACACCGACATTTGCATTTATTATATAGATACCTGAAATCCCTGTTCATTTCACTTGAATTATTTTATTTATTTTTCAGCCCTTCATTACATTTGCATGGATCAGAAATGTGATAGTCGGATCCGTGTCCAGCTTCTGCTGGTCTTCCTCAGTGCCGGTGCTTCATTAAACGTCAAAGACCATACAGGTGAGAAAACACGTTATCACACCTGCTCGGCCCAAAATTTGTGATCACGTTTTTTGTTTTCTGTTTTTTAAATAACTCTGCACTTAATTATATTATGTTTTGTCTTGTTTATTCTCTGGCCTTCATCAGGTGAATGTCCTCCTTTGACAGCCAAATATTTCAGATCACATTGCTGTGTTCACATTTGTTCCATGTTTAAAAAAAAAAAAAAAAAAAAAAAAAAAAAAATGTATTCTCAATTCTCTAATGTTATCATGTCAATCACCTTTATTCCAGAATCATTTATTGACTGAACACAGAACACAGGCGGTCATGGATCTTCACATTTTTACTATCTATTGTGGCCCTTAGAAATTTTTCTCACTTTTCCTAAAACCCCCACCCAATGTTCTACAATCCATTTACACAATTTCAATGGGTATGTGGATCACTGCTTTCCCCTATCATCTTAGCACTCGATAGGCCCTATGAGGGTTATATTTTCCAAGCCTTCCATCCTCATCTCTTTTCCTGATTCTGAGTATGTGTTCTTTTTATTCTCATTTTCCCAAATATTTATTCGTTGGTTATGTGCTTCATTACTAGAATTCTCAGCATCCTTCAATAGAACTACATTTCTGTCACCTCCAGTTTTCTCTCCATCTGTGAGATGATTCTCCAGCATTCACTGCCATACAAGAGGATTGATATTATGCAGTCGTTCCTGCATTCTTTTCTTGTTTCTTAGTACATTGCTCAAATTTTTAGATCCATCTTTCGCTAATCCAATGCACTTGTGATGTTTGGTATCATGTTTTAGTTGAAAAGAAAATGTTAGCCTTTACCGAAGACCAAGAAAAGATCTGAGGACAAATCGCAGTAAAACATTCATCCTCAAAAAAAAAAAAAAAATCAAACTTCATTAAATTATCACCAGAAATATTCTAAAACTTATTTATTGCCGCACGGAAAACATACTACAAATCATAAAAAAAACAATACAACATAAAAATCTTCAGAACACACAAAACCTCCACAACCCCCTCGCCTGTAACTGCAGAAGAAAGTACAAAATCAAGCTATGGTAAGATGCAAATGAAACCCAGAAAAAAAATATATACAGGAATAAAAGAAGGTCCCTCAAAACGGGTCAGTTATACAAAATATCTTTATAAAGAAAAAATATGCAAACAGCACATCCCTCGTAAAACATAAATGAGAATTAAAAAAAAAAAACATTTACACTAACTCTTAACGTTTTTTACAGACCAAACCAATATGTACCAAGATAGAAAGATAGATAAAAAAATATTACCAGCAATAAAAATTGTCGGTATTAAATAACCCTTGGTCAGGTTGCTCAAATATTCACTGCATGTGCAAAATATTAAAAATATTGTCCTCATCTTTATTGTTATCACAATGTTTCGGGCCTTGTACCCTTCCGCCTTCATCAGGTATATATCAATTTGGGTAACCTGCAGAGAATTATGTGGAAAAAGTTATGTGACATGTTTCGGCCTTTAGGACTTCATCAGATTTGCATCCAAGTTCTTACAATGTTTTGTGTACTGGGTAAGACGTTAAACAACATCCGCATCATGAGTAAGATGATAAACTATGTCCAACAGCAAGACCTCTAATCAGAAGGTTTTGAGGAGTGTGGAACCACCTTAATTGCTGGTGTTCCCAGGTCCACCCTGACCCAGGGTGGTGGCACCTGTTGGGGTCCCAGCTATGGGCAAATAGTTAACTATTACCAGCAATACATAAAAAAAAAAAAATTTTTTTTACCAGCAATAGAATTTTGAAGGAAAAATATTACCAGAAACAGATTTTTGACAAAACAAAATATTACCAAAAATAAAACATTTTTTCAACATTAAGTAAGCCATTGAGGTTGATATGCCGTAAAACAAAACAAACCAACTGCTTAGGCATACTGGTCTTGTTCAAAACATTAATCATGCCAGATTTTGTGCTTTCTCCTCTAAAATGTAACTGAGGTCTGCTCAACATACTTGAGGTATAAACCAACATGTCTCGGTTTTTTTGTTTTATTTTTTTTAAACTAAAATCCAGAAAATTTGTCTGAAATAATTTTTTTTCTTTTTTTCACAAATGTCTTCCTTGTTTTGTAGGATTTTTTTCTGTGGCCATCCATGGCACAAAAGGGAGTCTGTAAATGTAAAAAGAAAAAAAAAAAATTAAGCCACTAGAAAAAAAATTGGCGAAAAAAAAAAAGGAAATCATGAGAAATATTTTCTCTTCAAACAGTTATTCTCTAAATATTTTTTACTTTGCTTTTTTTTTCGTTTTTTTTTTTTTTTTTTTTGTGTCCTAATTGCTTCAAGACTGCAGCCGTCTTTTTAATTTCTTTCTCCAAGACAAGAACCATTCCATGCACAACTCCAGATTTCATGTCTTATTTTTGGGAGAGGAACTTTTGTTCCTATTAAGACAGTTCCTCATCTTTGCTACCTTTTTGTGCTGAACAATTCAGCATTCCCCAAAAAGTTCACAAGGGCATCAGGACCCTGCAGAAGGCTTGTATACAGCTAGTGGAACATTCGTGAAACAATACAAATTCATCAAAATGAGTCAACAACATCTCAGAAATTCTTTTAAAAAATCTAATCAAGGAAATCGGTCTGTTGTTTTTTTTTGTTGTTTTTTTTTGTTTTTTGGGGTTTGGGTCACAAATCTGTAAATATAAAGACAAAAAGACAACACAAAAAAAAAATGATAAATTAAAAAAAAAAGTATTTTCTCTCCAAATTCTTCAATTATTTGTTCTCCAAATATTAATTTAATTCTTTATTTTCTGTTTTCTTCAAGACTACACCCCTCTTTGCCGAGAACTTGAAGGTGTTTTGGCCAAACACAGCAGCAATCAACCACACACCACCTATGACCTTTCCTTGATGACACAGTTAATCTACGGTGGGGCCACCCTGAACTTCCATAACCAACGTCTCCGGCTTTGGCTTCAGAATGCCATGCAGGGTAACAAACATCTGTTGTATGCCATCGTGGACATCCTCGTGTTGGCCCTCCGCCACTCAGTGTTGGTCAGGTTGCTCAAATATTCGCTGCATGTGCAAAATATAGTCGATGAAGACCTGCGCGATGTGACCAACAACCTGAAATGTCTGACCAATTCTCCCACAAATCTGCAAGTCATCTGTCTGGCTTACATACGTGATCTCCTTAAGAAAAAACTTTTCCCGCGTGTGCAACAGCTTGATATTCCAGTTAAACTTAAGAATCTGTTGCTTCTTGGACACTGACTGTTGATTTTAAATCTGAATTCATTGGCACTCTGTACATTGTAATTTATAACGCTCAATGATAAGTATTTTAATAAATTTTTACATGTTTATTTTTGTTTATCTGTGGACCAACCAGTAGGCCTTAACATGTATCTTGGGGCAAACCAATGTTGTGTTTAACAGTCACGCTAAACAATCACCAATTCTTCTAGATGGAATGACCAGCGAGGAAGGAGGCAGTTATAGTTATTTTCTAAGCATAGCTTAGATGTGGCACAAGGCTGAAAATATGGGGCGCCTAGGGAGGATCAAACTCACTTTTCAGTCATAACTGATTTAGCAAGACAAGCTTGCTAACCATTACATGACAGCAAGGCACCCTGGAAGGAGGAATTTATGTGTACTTCAGAGAGAAGGTTGCAAGAGATGGTGCCCTTAAACTGAAGGTCGAAAGAAGTTATCGTGGTTGGCTGGGTGGATTTTGGAAAAATTTCTAACATCATAAGAAGTAGCAAGTCAACTATGAAAACCAAGAGAAAGCTGTTTACTGAATATGTACTGCGGGTGATGTCTTATTGAAGTGAGACATAGGCGTTCAACACCACTTTACAGTGACCCAACATAAAATGAAGTGAATCATGCACAGCATCACCTTATGTGAGAGGAAGAGCAATTCCTGGATTTGACAGCAGACTTGAGTCAAGGATATAACTGAAACCATCAAGAAGGGCAAATGTAGATGTGGTGGCCATGTCTCTCGTCTTAGAGACAAGTGGGGGACTATTAGAGCAATAGAGTGGGCATCAAGTCTATGGAAAATAACTAGGTGGCAGCCAGAGGCAAAATATCCAGAGATAGGAAGTGGTGGATGTCAACCAGGGAGTGGTTGCTTCATCATAGAATGGTTAAATAAAATGCAGCAAAAATCGTAGTTAATATTGTCTTTTATAAGAATGTGGAATGCAGCCATCATTCACCTGAAAACTGGTTTCACCAAATTAGTTAAATTGAATCTTCCCTTTGTCAAACTGTTCACTTGAAAAATCAAGACGAAGAATATTAAAGGGAGATAACTTTTATATCTGAATAGTTAGCTTTTAAATAACATTATCATGTGGCACTGAGATCCAAATGTACACTGGACAGCAAAAAAAACTAAGCCGGGTGCTGAGAAATGGAAAAATTTGGTTAGAAACAGATTGCTGGATTGCTATGTGATAGCCATCCTCTATGTGGCAGTGAATGCCGGACAATCTCCCCACAGATGAGAAAACTTGAGATAGCAGAAATGCGATCCTTGAGAAGGATATTGAAATTTCCAAAGATGGAGCGAGTTAGCAACAAAATCTTAAAGAAAATGACTACAAAAAAGAACACATATTTTCAGAATCAGGGAAAGACGTGAGGAAGAACGGCTGGGAAAACTTAATCCTCACAAGGCTAGAGAGATAGGTGAAGGCAGAAAACCACTTAGCTGACAAGATTGGGCAAATGGATTGTAGAACGTTGGGTAGGAACCTTAGGAAAGGGTGAAAAACTTGTAAGGAACACAAGAGATAGTTGTGGAGAGTCATGATCACTTATGTTCTAAAGGGGTGTGGCACATAGAATATCATTTAAAAATTACATCCAATAATATGATTATATATATTTATGATAATAACTATTTTTTTTTTCTCCATAAAGTCATTACTAAAATCATCATTAGCATAATATCTTTAGTTTATTCTATTAATATAAAAAAAACCCTATGTAGGCTTTAATAACTAATAAGGTGTTCAAACTTTTCTTGATAAGCCCTGATTTTGAGCTTGTTGATGGCAATGCTATCTGACTCAGGACAATAAAAATCTAATTTTCTGGCAGAGGAAAAAAAGTAATTAAGAAAACTCTTCTTTTTGATTATTTTCCACTAAGCAGAATGGAATTTCAAACCTATGATAATTTGAAAAAGCAAAATAACTGATCTCTGTCGTTTCTGCCATGAAAAGTACTCGGACTACATTCATTGGTTCCACCAATTCTAATCTTCATGACTAGGACCTGACATGCAACTCACATTGTAACAAACCACCCCCATTCCCTCTGTATTCTACTGGTGAGAAGTAAGTTGTTCCACTAAAACTGTTTCTACCCGAAAACACTGCTCTGTGGAATAGACTCCCAAAAGGATGTTTCTTTGATCACTACAATCTTAACCTGTTCAAATCTAAGGTTTATCTTCCTCTCCTGCATAAAGTGCCTCTGAATGTAACCCTCTACCTCAAGTGGCACTTGGGCATTATTCAGAGTGAACCTTGCTGTTAAAAAAACTTATGCATCAACAAGGTTGCAGGCTGGTAAAAAATCCCTATTTATTCAAACATAGTCAGGATAGATTCTCACAAAAAATGGGGCCAAGCTTAATTAATATTCACAACTGAGTACAAGAAGAAAATTCTAAAATGCCAAGTGGTTAACCAAATGAACAACATAACCAACGGTAAAACTTAGTCAATCCAGTTGTCAGAATGAAAAATGATATTTCTTTCCACACACTTTCAGGAAGTTAAAGCCTGGATACATTGAGAATTGCTGGCAGAAACCTACCTACAAAACTAAAAAAAAAAAACTCCTAATCTAAATGATCTTCCAAAATTGAAATGCAGTGTCAGTCATTAACTTCTGTTCTTTTATTGTTCGCTCTCCTTAAAAGTGTTTTATTTTTTGTCATATTTTCTAACACTCAGTAACCCCTTGTGTCTTAGTGGCTTTATTGCCTTGCTTGGGATGAAATGATTAAAAAAAAAAAACTATGAATGAAATGATTGACATAAATGGTTTAATGAAAATATAAAAACTTTCCAAACAAAAGTGCAAATTAAAGTGAGATGACAATCGATAGAGGTTTTGGTTCTCTGTTTCTGGCTTCGTTTCTGAAACAGTTGGGGACAGAATTTTAATAGCATTTTGGCATATTAAAATTAAAGGCTCCAGAAAAGTTACTTTCATTAGAAGGGGATTTCTTTCTCATAATAGAATCAGGTTTAAACCTTTTCATGCTGACAGAATCAGACTGCCAAAATTTTACATTATAACAGAATGTGGCACAAGCTTACTAGGTATATATATATATATATATATATACACACACACACACACAGTGTAACCCGGATATAAGAGAGATTTTCTCTGGTCCCAAATTGGAGCCTGTGTTAATGTATATAAAATAGACCAAACCTGGATATAAGAGACTTCTTCTCCGGTCCCGACAACTCTCTTATATCCGGGTTACATTGTGTATGTGTATATATATATATATATATATATATATATATATATATATATATATATATATATGTGTGTGTGTATGCTGAGCAGACCTTTGCTACAGTTTCTGGGAGATAGCATGTTATCTAGCGTGATCAACAATTTGATCAAGGTCAGCACACTCAAGCTCTCGGCTACGATGACTTGTGACTTTGAGCTGGCACAGCTATCGACAGCCCCCAATTTCACTCACACGGCTTGGGTGTATGTATGTATGTATATATATATATATATATATATATATATATATATATATATATATGAGGTCTGGTCAAAGTGTATGTTAACTATTGCAATGGTAAATGAGCTAAAGTACGCAGAGTAAAGCCGCTTGGCTCAAATTGATCTAGAACTCGGTCGCGCATGCACACTAAGTTATAACACAGTCGCTCACTTTCGTTGTTTATAACAATGCTGGGAAGGAAAGTGTGTAGAGTGTGGTCGTCTCACCACCCCGCAGCGGTTTCTATCAGTAACTATGGCTTGTGCAACAGTTTTTAACCAAGAACAAAATTCCCCAGGTTTAACGACCGCCGTATTTTCCAGATTTCGCCTCGTGTCGACTTTTTTTTTTCTCTTCAAAAATCAAATCCCACTTAAACAAGATTTCAAGACGTCAAGGAAATCTAAGAAAAAGGGAGTTCCAGTAATGCTTACATCAATTTGAAACGACGCTGCATATAGTGTGTGCATTTGGAAAGGGGTGGCATTCTGTGTCATAACATAGCTGGTCAATGTAGTTGGTTGTTGGGCGACCAACCCGTCTTTTTCCCTGGCTAGGTGTCTAGAGCAGTGGATTACGCGCGAGTCCTTGTCTTGCTCGCCAACAGTGTCCTGCAAAGCGCATTTTGCGTTCGTGTAAGATTTTACAGATATGGATAGAGAGAGCTTCGAATTAATTGGATGTTGTCTTCAGATGTTTATAGCTCCCAGCATCCGCGTGTAGGTTCCATCAAGCTTAGAGTATAAGGTTTAGTTCATGTCCGAACAGTGGCACCATACATTAAAACCTATTCTGCCGTGATCCCTTTGAATAAAATGGATGTATCAGATCATCCGATAAGTTCTGTCCGAATTTTACCTTTTTTTTTAAAATGAACGAAATTTAAAGAGTATTTTATAATGTCTAATGGAGCTGAACATTATTTTTATGTTTAGATGCATTTAAACTGATCAAATTTTATTTCAGAGAACAATAAAATTAAATTTTGTTTGATTAAATCCCTGCTAACATGGAAGTACCCAAGAATCATTTGAGGCACATAATGCTTTATGAGTTCAAGAAAGGAAACTCAACAGCCGAAGCGGCTAGAAACATTCACTCAGTTTATGGAGAGGAATGTGTGAATGAAAGAACTTGCAGAAGATGGTTTGCAAAATTCAGAGGTGGAGATTTCACCCTTGTAGATGAAGATCGAACCGGACGTCCAGTTGAGTTTGATGAAAAGCTTCTTGAAGCAGCCCTTAAAGAAAATCCTGCTTTATCAGTTGAGGAATTGGCAGTGGTTCTCAGTTCAAACCATACAACTGTTCATCGTCACCTTCAACAACTTGGAAAAGTTCCTAAACTTGAAAAATGGGTGCCTCATGAATTGTCTGAAAACAACCTCAAATCCCGAGTTGACATCTGCTCTTCATTTCATTCACGCCAACTTGTTTCACCTTTTTTGGATAGACTTTTGACTGGCGACGAAAAATGGATCTTTTAT